GGGTGGGGGTAGTGGTGGTGGTGGTGGTGGTGGTGGTAGTTAATAATGGTAGGCGGCGGCAGTTAGTAATGAATGTGGATGATAGCATCTTAATAAAATTAAGTTTTGTTATAGATATTAATCATACAGACAGATTCAGACCCATTAAGTGGTTGTGAAGTAAAAAAAAAAAATACTTAATGATTAAGATTAAGATTTTAAAAACAAACGCACTTAATGTCTGAGGTCTGAATGATTAAGATTCAGACCTCTATTAAGTGCAACCAAATGAGGCCTAAAACTGATAGAGTAAACAAAATCATAATAATTCAGTTCATAATACTTCAGTTTATACAAACTCTTCTTACACATGGTAGAGTTTAAGTAACAAGACAAACTGATTTCTATGACTCACCAATGTTTACCAGTGAGCTACTTGCTCCAGGTAATAGAACAAACATCGCATATCCCAATCTCATGGCTTACGCCTCATGGTCAACAAACAATTGTTATAAATGCATTGGTCTTGTTTGAGAACAGAAATTTTCAGCAGATAAAAAGCAATTAGTTGTTCCCAAGCTCTCTATTGCCACTGCATGTTGCTTTTTGCAATATCAAAGATATACTCTTCCAATATTATATGGCTCAATTATATTTTTTACAGGATAAATCAGAAAAAGACTCTCTTTAGACTAAATGAGAGTTCGATAAACCAAACAAATTTAGCTGGCATTTCATTTCAAAAAGTGTTAAAATTGTTTAATTTTTTTCTTTTTTGGGAGAAAACATTTTTCAATTTTTCCAAAAAAATCCAACCAAATACAAGAATGGCTTGTCGAGAAAATTTTCACCAGTTTTTGAAACAAATGCCACCTTAAAAGCTTCAAATTGGTAAACTATTTCTCGATGCTTTGAAGATAATAATTCAAACACAAGAAGTACTGAAAGAAGAGAAATGCCTAAGAACTTGAAGAAGCTAATATCATTCATGTAAACTAGAACATTTTCTTCTAGATTCAAGACCCTTTTTTTTCCTTCAAGAATGATAACCAGATAGAGAGCTGCCACAATCAACAAAAATTGCAGAGATAAGAACGATTACCATATACGGGAAGGCAATTTAAAGAAGAGAACAGATATAAAAGAAAATTTGGACTGACGAGATAGTTAAGAAAAAAGAGTAACGAGATAGGTGAGATCTGCAACCACCCAGCTACCTTCCTGTCAGAACTTCGACTTGACTGGACACATTCTGAAAAGTAGGTGACCTTTTTCGCAGACCAAGCAACCTCAACGAACAAAGCATACGATCAAAGAACTCTGACAAGTTTTTGTATCTGAAGACCAATACATACTCACTGTTAGAGTTAGAAACAATTACATGGATAATGGAATAATCTAGTTTAATGAGGAGCAGACTTTTCAGGAAGCTCAGCAATATCTATTTCATGTTTAGTGTGTGATTGCTCATTCTTTTTCTCTGGTGTCCAAGATGAAAAATCTGTTCCAATAGAGTTGCCTACAGCGATCCCCCTCTTCTGCAAAGGTAAAGGAGACAGCACACTTGACTTCTCTTCCCCGAGCAGAAAACTTTGATTTTTCACATCCAAAACTCTTTCTTTGGTTACTTCATGGTCTATTTTCTCCATGTTTTAATACAAAAGCAGTTTGATCTGGAAGAAGAAAGCTCGTGTTAGAAGCACAATCTTAGCAGGACAAAAATAATTCAATAAAATAATATAGGAGCCTAGTGCCTTAATTTGATGAAGTAAGGGATATCATAAATGGCATCAAGTAGATGCAAATAGTACAAAAGATAGCAAATGCAAAAGTGAGTTTGTTAACTCAATTACAATGTGCCCTATACTAAAGATAAGGAGCTAACAAAGTCCAAAAACTTATCAGTGGAGTTTAGCCTAGTGCCTTAATATATTGCAAGGACGTCAAACAAAAATTTTACAACACCGAGAAATGGATGCATCCACTTAACTGAACTAGTAACAGCATGTAACTAAAATAAATGTTCAGTAAAGAAATTGATTGTCCAAAGACCAACACCTGCAATAAAATATAAAAGCCTACTGACGACTAATTTTATTTGGAGGACTATCTACATGAAGCTGATAGGCTCCTTTGCATGGACGGAATAAAGTATAATTCAAATCACAATTTACTTTAACAAGATTGAAAGAAAAACAACAAAAACAACCATAATTAGGAAGCAAAAGAGTAGATGTGAGCTACAATTTCATAAACTTTCAATTACAACCACAATTTCACATCACTTGACAAGTATTCCCCGCGAAAGGAATATAACCAATTGATCTTCGAATAGGTAAGTAAAACATGGCTGCCGTAAACTGCATAGTCCAGTAGTCACCAAAAAGGAAAATTAACCTAAAACGGCCCGAGTAAAGTTTAAATGTAAGAAATGGAAAAACCGCTACCTTTAAATCTACCTTCAGAAATTTGAACTCACTCTTTCCAGCTATTGATTTTGTAGAATACTAAACCGATAAGAACAAATAAGGTGAATTGCAACAATCAATTGGAAACCCTAGTCAAATTTTTCCGTTGTAAGAGGAGGGAAAGAGCTGTTGGATCTTCATTCAAATATCCACTGGTCGGGGATTATCAGAGAACTTTGGGCTACAAGGCCCAGAGCACGTTCGTTTCAGGGAAGATGGGCTTTCCCATGTACAGGTTTGGGTAGGCAATCAACAGGCTTTTTGGTTTCAAGACCGTATCCGTGGCCCATCTCAACCAGAGTTCTCACTTTTCCGGATTTGCGTTCCTTTGGGTCTCTTTAACGTAACAAAAGATTTCATTTTTTCGGCAGAAATTTAAAAATAGCCAGATTTACAAGTGGTAACTGAAAAATAGCCATAGTTTCAAAAAAAATCAAAAATTAGTCACTTTTCATGTAAAGATAAATCTGAATGAAAACACTGTTCAAAATTCGGAAAATATTCCAGTATAATATACTGGAACTCCAGTATATTATGCTGGAGATCCAGTATATTATTCTGGAGTTCCAGTATAACTCCAATATAATATACTGGAGTTCCAGTATAATATACTGGTCCAGCATAATATGCTGGAAGTTCATACACCAATCTTCAATATATTATGCTAGATCGGTCCGTGTTGCAGCAAAATCGTGGCTATTTTTTAATGACTTTGCAAACGATGACTATTTTTGAATTACCAGTTCGAAAACTGACTAGCTCATGCTATTTTCACTCATTTTTCTGTCAAACAAATTTCTCGATAACGGATTTTCAAAAAACTTCAACAAAAAATAAGGCAACTCTAGAAAATATTTTGAAAATTTTTTTTTAGAGAAAACATTTCTCAAAGGCAGATTCCACGTAGACTTTTGCGCTGCTTGATTAAAATAATAAAAAAACACTTTTGTCCTACTGTGGTCCTCTTTATCCTTAATGATTTTATTATTAAATCGGCTCACCCCAAGAATGGGAATGAACTAATGTAAGTTTTTGCTTCTTTTAGGTACACGTTTGATTGTTATGTTATTATCAGTAGCCATTATTATAAAGCTACAACGTAGTTCAATTGTCAAAGTGTTGCCTGATATTATGATTAATACAGCGACGGCCTTTTAATTAAACAACACTGGTCTCAATCATCATATGTAATTAATGTAAATATGTCTTTATGCACAAATTACAAAAGGCGTAACAAATCATTCGAAACAAACCGAGGCTATTGTATTTATGAAGTATAAATTCGCACCTCTAATACTGTATTATACTGGAAATTGCGAAGAAGACTCAGGGGCGGTCCAACCTCATCGGAGGCCTAAAGCAAAATCTTAATAAGAGGCCTTAATATATATATATATATATATATATATATATAATGAACATCGTTTTTAAAAAAATTAGATAAGTGAGGATGTATAATTAAAAAAAATGAGAACTTAGTTTTATAAAATACAGAAAATTAAATGAATTTAACGTTGATTGCATCACAACTGAAATGGGAGAATCCAGAAAACATAAGTGACTCCTTTTTTTTAGTAAGTCCCTTTCTATATTTGGTAACAATTCAACTTTAGATTTTTCTTTTTACCATTATTGAGATGATTTCTAGCCCAAAAACTTCTATGATTTATTTAAGATTACAAGTTTCAAAAGCTTTTCTTTATTTCATAAAATACATGTCCAGTCAAACACTTTCATATAAATTGAGACGGAGAGAGTATAATTTATGTAAGAAAAATAAATAATAAGTTAGATTATTAGATATAGTTACGTGACCAACTAATGAATAGAGAAATATAATTAAGTAAAAAAGTAAAATAAGATTGACAGAAAATTATTTTAGTTATATTAATTAGAGGAAGAAATCGAATTATTAAAAATTAATATGACAATAAAGAAATAAATTTATCAATAATAAAAGATAATTATATAAATAATATACTACTATATATAAAGAATACTAGTAATTTTGGAGCCTTTAAATTTTTGGGGCCTCCGCCCTGAGAAGACTATATATAGCGAAACAAGATTTAGCATTTCTTTTTGGGATTGGACAATTCCTACTAGAGAACAATTTCTGTTTTAGTGAGTTTTACATGGCACTAATATGAATTAATCGAAATAGCGAAACATATATTTAGCCACTCAATTTGAGGATTGAGTTCAACTTGTGTTTTTCACTATTTATTTTTTTTTAGGTTGAATCATCTGAACTAATTACTAGCCCAACTAATCCCATTCCAATCAGGCAGAGCCTATTAAAGGAAAAATATTTTTTATCAGTATTCTCTATCACATGGCTCAAATCGAGATCTCTATTAAAAATGAAATAATATCCGAAATTATCTAGTAAAGTCATCTTTTTTCGTTTGTAATAGAAAAGTCACTTAACTATGCATCTAGCACTCAGAATGTGACTCAACTAGATTTCTTATACTTTTGATTGTCAAATACTTATTTTGCCCTCTAAATTATCAACTTTGTCTTTTTTTAACTTTTGTAATATTATAGTTTTTTTCTCTTTTTAATCTACGGACTTACCTATAGAGAAAATAAATTTATTTAAAAATAAAAAATAAATATTCTAGCATATATAATATCAGAATAATAAAATAATTGAGCATAATTTTCAAGAATATATAATATATAATATAAAAATACCTTTATTTTAAATAATATTTTTTATATTACGTGCATAGAATATATATTTTAATTTTTTTTATTTTCTTTCATTTTCAATTGTGTAAATAAATTTTTTAGTTTTTGTTGCTAACATCAAAATTGTTATTATGAACAAATTGTTCTAATTAAATTATTTACTCTCAATATATTATTATTCAAACATTATATATGCTTAAATATTATTTTATTTTTTTATTTTATAAATAAAATTTATGTATTCCATAGGGAAGTCCATAATTTAAATTAAAAAGAGAAAAAATCATATATAATTAAAAAGAAAAAAATACAAAAGTTGATAATTTATAGGGCAAAATAGGTATTTGGCAATCAAAAGATTGAAAAATCTAGTTGAGTGACCTTCTGAGTGTTATATGCATAGTTAAGTGACTTTGTTGTTATAAACGAAAGAAAAATGAGTTTAGTAGATAATTTCGGATAGTAAAGTGACCATTTGACTAAAATTTTATTAAATCCGATACAACTAGATCTAAAATTGTGCTACATTGCTTATTGCCCACGTTAGATAATCAAATCAATCAACCTACAAAAATCTGAATCATGACATGAAAGAAAGGTAGTACAGTATCATTTTCTAAGTTTTTTTTTTTTTCAATCTCAGATATTGAATATGAACTTCTTTTCAGAAATCTTGTAGTGTCCCTCTTCAAATCTTTATTGATAGCAGCAAACTCATAAGGGCCCACCTAACAAATCATAGTGGGTCCCCGGCCGTCCAGTCTCCATATTCCTTCCACGTATACCCATACACGTGGCGAGGCACCAGCATGACGTAAGCAACGTAAACTAAGCAGCGACCTTTAACCAGAGATGTTGATTGGTTCATAAAAAAAATCTAAGATTATATATTTGCAAAAAATATGTTTTGAGTTATTTATCTTGTTTTGAAATCACAAATACAATTATTTACTGTTATATATAATTTGATAATGTATGTTTTTTTTTCTTATAATAAATCTTACACTCTTAAAGATATAATAACTGAATCTATAGAACGAAGTTCTAATTCTAATAATGGAGAAGGGAAGGCAAACTGGAACACGTGTCAACATATCAAAAGGCAGCTTGGCTTAGACAGCACGTGATGTTGCCTTTTATGGGCAAATAGAGAAACGGTTGTTACTTTCCGTTGCCGCCCCTGCCTCACATGATATTTCTTCATATCTGTCTCTGCATTTATATATTATCACAGTCAAACCATGACACGTAGCTGCTGTGTTTTTAATTTTTATGTAAGTAATAATGTGAGGTTTGCGTCGTTCCCTTTTTTCGGTCCATTTCAGAGTTCCTACTCATTGAAATTCTGCATTCATCATTAGATATTTATAACTCGTTTTCGCCTAAAAATTGAACTCTTTTCTTTGTATAGAATTTTTTTGTGTTGTTTGAAAGATCAAATCTGAGAGAATTTGTCCTGCACAAATGACGTTATTGTAAGGGAAGGAGGAAACTGAGAAAGAATACTTCATTGAATATTGAATCTGAATGTATGATTGAGATTTGAATAATCCATCAAGTGACCTATTAATCATGTCGATTCTCGAAATACCTTCCTGATTTTTTGACATTTTCTGTACAAACTATTAAAAAATACTCCTACATATTTAAAGTTACAATAACGTCATTTATTTTTGAGAAAATTTTACGTTTTTATTCATTAATTGATCAAGTCATATGTTAAATAACATATAAGATCCCAATATATGAAGAAAAAAAAAGAGTATTATTACTAGAAAGTGATAAACGTACTTTTTAAGATCGATACAATTTGTTGTTCAGTTTGTAGTGATACCACTAGGTCACAACTTGACACGTATTGATTAGTTGCTTGTTTGATACATTGAACAACCATGACTAAAAGTTTGGACCACATAAGAATACAATAATTTCTTCTCTTATTTTTCGCATTTTCTTGACCAACATGAATCGAAGATGATTATGGTCTTATGAATCTAAAAGAGTTGGAAGAATAAAATGTTTAAAATAAAGGACCACCTCTTCCTCACATGATATTTCTAAATTCCTCTCTGCATTTAGTCATTACAACAGCCGAACCTTGACACGTAGCAACTGCATTTTATATGTTAGATTTCCTACCTTCCCTTCATTTCAGTTTTTTCCATTACATTGAATTCTCAATCATTAGACATTTAGGACTCGTTTCACTTAAAATTAAACTCCTTTCTCTCAAATGAAAATCTGTGTTGTTTAAAAGGATCCAAACTCATAAACAATGAAGTTACAAAGTTACAATAATATAGTAGTCTAATATTTTCAGAAAATTAAAAATCACACGATCTTATGAATAACCCCAAGTCCTAATAAATCGCATGCATAATTCTAACAATTGAGGTAAGCAAAATTTGATCCAACGTGAAAAACATTGCTATTACATATAACTACATCACAAATTGTTGTTCGGTTTGTAGCTAGCGTGAAT